TGCCTGGGTGGGCTGGCCCTTGGCCAGGGGCGGGTCCATCTTGCAGCTGGCTGGCATTGGCTCTATCAGACACAGTGGAAGCTTCTGGCAGCTTCTCACAGAAGCCACCCCTGTAGCCCCCCTGCTACCAAAACCTTGCCATGCAAAACCAACACATACGGAACAGAAATTTGTTTTCATCAGTTTCATAACTGCATTGCTAAGTTTTTACTAGGGGACGCTTACAAATTATCTTAAAGGGAAATACCTGAAGTATATTGGTTCCTGTTCATTTCTTCGAAGATTCAGATACTACATTTGAAACAATGCAGAACGGCACCTCATTTCCACATTTTACTATTATGGTCAGTTTTATTTCCAGTAAGGGCCACATTTAACTTTCTCCTATTTAATGCAAGCCAGACATGTACTAGTAAGCCAAAATACCAGCTGACTGAGAAACATCAGATGACCACCAAACCTTTAAGACTCTGCTTTTTCAATATTACTACAGCTTTCACATTTCCCAATGTGGCTAGCAACGACTACAGAAAATTAAACCCAAATTGGTAAAATTACTATTCTGAAAGCGTATGCTGTAGTTTCTTCTTTTGGCAACCTTACTTTTAGCCTTATGCATCCATCGGGATAAGCCATTAACTTCTCCTCTTCCTCTCTGTTCTCCAAGGCTGAATTTCAGCACCCATTAAGACCAATGCCAACAATCAAAAATTCATTAGATTCTCCTAAAACTTACTGCAGTTTCTTCTGATATCACTATTCACTCAACAACATCCAAAGTAGCAAAATATTATTCTTCAGCTCTCATTACACTCCTGTATCTTATCCTTCATTTCACACCAAAGCATTTTGCTGCTATGTAAAAAATAGCAAAATTGAATAGGAAAAATTTTTACACAAGATTTAGCTTAGAACTAGGCCTGACAGCAGGTACCTGACATCACCCTAGTTCTGCTATTAACTCCAGAACTGTATTTTAAGAATTCTTCTCACTGCTGCCAAACTCTATTGAGGCTATTAAGCTGCACACGGTTTAACAACCTAAATGTACTACATCCTGACCTAACTGTAGCGCTTGTCCTGCCAGGAATTTAACCCAACAGTAACTTCTACAAGCACCCTTTTCCAGTTTCAGTGAGCTGGGTTTGCAAATGCTGTAGTAGCCCAGGTCACTTAAGGCCGGGGTGGGGGGGGGGTGTGTGGAAACCAGATTAGGGGCAATTTACAGAATCAACTTAAACAGCAGATCTGAGAGGAAGCAACAATTCCATCTATTTCTGGATATATGATAGCTTCCTGAGAGCTTGGAAAGGAAGACTGGGAACTATCCAGAACTGGAAACACAGCTGCTACATAATCTCAGTCAGGATCCACGAGTCTCTCTGGTTTACCTCCCTAAAAAGCACGGTATTAAAAACACTTTCAAAACACGCAGCAAAAAAGATGGAATCCTTTTACAGAATACAGCAACCATGTTAACTCCTTTCAGAATGATGAGACTCACACATACGGAGCTACAGATACATTTAAGCCTGCTTGAAAAGTCAGATACCCATTTTCTAAGACTGCAGTTAATCTAATTTATTACCAAGGAAAACATAGTAATGAGAAAGAAAATAAAATCTTAAAAACACCTCCCTCCCCGCCCTCCCATCTTCCCAATGTGACAACTAGCTGCTATCAAGAAGAGATTACGTTCCATTTATTTTCTCTTTATGTTGGTGCAGTGGGTTGATCTCAACTGGACACAAGGTGCCCACCAAGCCACTTTATCACTCCTCTCCTCAGCAGGATGGGGGGCAGGGAGAAAGATGGGGGGCAGGGAGAAAATAAGATGGAAAAAATCCTCATGGGTCAAGGTAAAGGCAGTTTAATAAAGCAAAAGCAAAGGTCACACATGGAAGCAAAGGAAAAACAAAATATTTATCCTCTACTTCCCATCAGCAAGTGATGTCTGGCCACTTGCCAGGAAGCAGGGCTTCAGTATGCATAGTGGTTGCTCCAGAAGACAAATGTCATAAATAACAAATGCCCCCTTCCTCCTCCTTTCTCTTAGCTTTTATTGCTGAGCAGAGGTCATATGGCATGGAATATCCCTTTGGTCAGTTGGGGTCAGCTGTCCTGGCTCTGTCCCCTCCCAAGATCTTTGCCCACCCCCAGCCTACTGGTGAGGTGAGGGGGATGCTGGAGAGACAGCCTTGGTGCAGTGCCAGCACTGCTCTGCAGGAGCTGAAACCCTGGTGTGTTACCAGCACCTTGCTGGCTACCAGTGCACAGCACTATGGGGGCTGCTGTGGGGAAATTAACTCTGTCTCAGCCAGACCCAACACAGGTGGTCAAGGCCATCTAAGCCATTTCTCCATCACTGGAGATGATGAGATGCCAATCAAACCTGTAGTCTTAAGGTTAGAAAATTAAAAGCACTCACAAAAGTATACAACAAGCACTGATACCTGAACAAAACAACAGCAACTAAACTCCTGGTGGGGAGGAAACCTCCGCTCTTCAGTAACAGCAACAGTGAAGTCCTATAGCAGCCTATCATATTTGCAAAAATGTACTGTAAATTATATTCAAAGTCCTATCTACAATCCTCAAACAGGTGCACTCCCCACCCTTCCTGCAGTACCTATGCATTTAAGACCATACAGTTCAGGAACAACATGAAATGCAATCTTAAGTGAACAATGGAGATCATCTGAGAGAGTCATTCATGTTCTATTTCTTCCTGTGGTAAAAAGAAACAGCAATTCAGCGACTGCCAGCAGAAAAAGACAGCAAATAAAATAGCTAAAAGGACATAATGGCACAGAGAAGTTACAGTTCACATCTAACCCACAGCCAAGAACTACCACCAAAATACACAGTTCTGCTAGTCCCCAATAATGCAGTTCCAGCACTACCCTTCCAGTGTCCAACAGACAGTAATAAGGACCATCAAACCAATCTGATTTGTGGAAGAAATTGGAGTCTACTAACACCCAAAACCCAGCAATCTCTTCTCAGTTTATCTTAAAACTTCAGAAACACTAGATCTGACATACATAAGGGAACAGGACTGCATTAGAAGGGAAAAAGGACAGGCAACAGGAACCACCCCTTTCAGTAGTTACAAAACTTTACCTTAATATCCCTTACCACAACTGACCTGCAATTTTAAGTTTCTACCCTACTTAAGTTTTTGCTTCTTCCCTTCCAGCCTCTGCTGGTCCACTAGCCTATCTACATAGGTACTCAGTTCCTAGCCCATTTATCATAATTAATAAGTTACCAGTACACACCACTTTTATGCCACATAGCCAAAAAGTACACATCCTCTCACAGCCAATGTAAGGAGGTAACACTGATTGACTACACTGACCATATCCCAGGTGCTTCCAGGGAGGAAAAGCAGCTCAACATTTTGAAAGACTGAAGTTGCCACTATTTAAAAAAACACTGGATTTTTAACACACAAGTTAAGGGCATGTTCCTCCAGGTGCTTCAGGAATCCAATTAACATGGGACTGCAGACTGCCAGCCACCTAGGCCGGCAGGCTAGGGGTGGAAGGGGAAGAGAAGCAAACATTCTACAGCCCAACAGTTGCCACCCCATACCTGCTCAAGGGGTGGGAGGATTGGTGATGCCTCATCTCCCATCTCTGCATTCCAGTCCTCCTGGTTCATGTTGTGCCCTGTCAGATCTGCTTGCAGGAGGCAAAACACATTAGCAGCAACCCCTGCCTGCCCCCAGCAGTTCCCACGGTGCCCAGGCAGGGGACGCTACTGAGCCTGCCTGTGCCAGCATTTGCTGTCCTCATGGCCCCCCCCACCCCTTCGCTGAAGAGGGAACCGCCGGGCGGGGGGAATGAGCCTCCCACTTCCATGAGAGAAGCGCCCAGCCTCACTCCTACCTCCCTCCTGCAGCCACCGAAACTCTACATAAAAAGGAAATGGCGCTCCTCACCGAGGCCCCTAATAACGCCACCGCCACGTGCAGTTGCTGGCCTGTCACGTGCTTCCTCGCCAGCCAATAGGAGCGGGGGTCGTCAGCAGAACGCGTGCGCTGGTGCCTGTAGCTGGGGTGAGGTAGCGCGCGCCCCGGCCGCTGGGGCCGTTAGGGGTGGGGGAGGGTGGCCGAAGCCGTTGCGGGAGCTTGTGGAGTAGGGGACGGTGGGGGCCTTGGTGTGGCGGTGGTGACGCGCTCCGCGGGTGGAAAAAGGTGGTGCGTACCGCTGTGCGGAGCAGTGGTGGCGTCAGGGTCGTCAAGGTGCATGTGGAACGAAAAGGGAGCACAGGAAAATGCTGGTTCACAATATCTGGGCGCTTCTGTGCTTTGGTGATGATCCTGCTTGGTTCTCTGAGCATCTGAATATTCCTTCATTTCTTCATGTATGACTGTTAAACTGTGTTTTATTTCACGAACATCTAATAAAACTGAAATCCACTCTTTGGCAGAACTGCAACGAAGATACTAATCATTTTCCTGCAAACAAAATTTTCATGTATTAGCATAACAGTTAAGTGAACATACCTCTGCTAGTATAATAAAAAAGTTTAATGAGGTTTAACAGGCTATATTTAAAAAAAAAAACCAACAACAAACTTAACAGCAACACCCCCTTCCCATGGTTTTTTTGTTATACCAGACTTGGTAGAGAAAAGAGGGCTAAATTCCTGGCTCAGGAGTTTTATTTATGTTGAAGTGCAGGAAAACATAGATAGGACTTGTATCAGTTCAATACATCTACTACACACTGTGGCGAGTACTCTGATGCTTCTGCTTGTGTTTCTGAGCTGCTGCTGCAGTGTATGTCTTCTTTGTACCTGTTTCATGCTGTGAAATAATACAGCAATGCTTATTCTGAAAATTGTAAAACAAGTATATATTGTTCCATAAGTGTGATAAATATTTGTTAACCTGCTCCAGCGTATTCAACAATTTTCCTCGTCAGAAAAACTGTCTGAAAAAATATGTGCCTGTTTGAGAACTTTAATGTGTTCTGTCACAGAGAAGCGACCCCAGATCTGTAGTTTTGCAGTGACCATCTGAATGTCTAGTATGGGCTCTGGGCAACAATAAGGCAGATCCTGGAGCAGATGGAAGTTATTGGAGAGGGCCTCTGACCTAATACTCTGGTTATTTTCATCTTACTCATTGTCAGTTGAGCCCTAGCCTTTATAGCTGCTCATTTTTCAGGAACATCAGGACAGGACACAGATTGTGCTCAATTTAGAATGCAAAGCAGCTAAGAAATGTAAGAACCAGCTTCTCTATCTCATAGTGAGCTTAAAACTGCTCCACTAGGTGATATATATGAGGCTGTGCTTAGTGCAGGTAGCAGAGATAGCTGCTTGGAGTTATTAGCTTTCAATAAGTGATCAGTAGGATACACAACGTCCAAGGATGAAGAACTCGCAGTGGGAGCATGGCCGTGGGAAGTGTACAAAGCTATTTACAAGTTCCTAAAGCAGAATCTGGAACTAGTAGGGAGGCTCGTGACCTGAATTTTACCCACTGTGCTAGCTCTGTAATACACCTTTTTACATTTTGCCTAAACAAGAAAACAGTAGGCTGCTTCATGAGCCTAAATGGCTTCTGTTTTCATTGCACTGAAGCTCTATTTTGAGCATCCATAAAGAAAGAGAGCAGTGTGTTTGTTCCCCTGAGAAATTTATGGTTAATGGCCGATGTGCTGCTCTGGTACATCTAAGCCAAACTGAAAGCTTTCAAATTGTTCATTCTCCTTTCCATTGTTGGGTTACCGTTCCCTCCGCTTTGCCAGCATAACTTCAAGTTCAGCACTCCTTAACTCAAGGAGACACAGTTTAGGTCAGTACTTTTAATGGTAGAAATAGGGAGCAACTATGAAGGCGGTCATGGTGGCAGATCTGTAATCACTGGCAGGTGATCTCTTAGTTCATTTGAGATACAATCAGATGTCACAGCTGCTAACTAGTAGATGGACTTGGAGAGCTCTTATTTTCTTCCTCTACTCCTTTGATTCTGCTCATTGTAGGACACTCAGTACACATTGTAGGATCTCCAGTGGCTGACAGGAACCTGGAGGATTTCTCTTCCAAAGAGGCTGCCAATAAGGTGAGAGCACAGAACTGTCCAGGCTTTTTAAAAGGTTAATATCTCCACAGCTCTTTCACTAGCAGACAGCTCAGGATACACAAAATACAGCAGCCCTGGGTCAGCATCTTGCTGTTTCCACTGTGCCATGTGTTAGCATCAACTGCCCAGTGCTTGTGCTTTGTCAGGCTTGTCTCATCCAAGCCCTCACCCACTGTGATACTTTTATACAAAATCTTCTTTCTTGGGACATTAAAATACAAATCACTTGACTATGGAAGCAGCATCAAGTACATTCAAGCTGTACTGTGTCATTACACATACCCAACGGCACTTGAGAAACGTAGTAGAAAATTGACAAGTTATGGGGAAAACAGAACTATTTAGGCCAAACTTTAATCTTGAGGAATTCAACAGGAGTTTTGCTACTGACTCTGAGAATCAAGGAATTTTCTCAACATATGAGTATTGAACTCCACCTCCTTGAGTGCTGGAAGGGCACAGCCCAGTCCTGCCCTAGCAGGGATCACTTACATGGGCTGAAAGAGAACATCTCGATGCTGCTTAGGCAGATCTAACTGCCTCCAAATTATTTCCCACTACTTCAGGAGAAGCCAACTATGAAATTTTGTCAATGCCAAGAAATTACATGGAATAAGTAACTAATTCGTTCAACTCAGGAAATTCTTCAGGGAGCTACAACTTCTTCCCCCCCCTCCCCCCAGGCTGCTAACAATTCGATGTAAACCATGGTGGCAGGGAACAAGTTGCACAGGATGTTTGCTGACTACCCTTGAGGTCATTTTGTCCAACCAGCTCCACTCAAGCAGAGTCACGAAGAGCCAAAAGAGAACAAAGTAATATCCAACATACATAAATGGTATCTTATATAGTACATTCAAATGTAACATGGAGCTGCAGATCACCAGAAAAACATATAAAAGTATATTACAACAACTTGCAAAAATAACCCCAAGTGTGAGTGTAACCCCCTAGAGCAAGACAGAAGAAACCAGCAACGTAAATGACATATTCCTCCCAGAGAAGGACTCCAGATGCTGACAACTTGCTGTAACATCCCCGCCTCTCACCACCGCCCAAGAACAAAACCAACCACCACTCAGAGCAGCAGTAGAAGGATGAGCCTAACACCAGGAAAAGGGTAGAAAGTAAGTGTGTGCTTAAAAAATTGTCTTCTTTCTTTTTGTGTAACAATTAGAGCTGGAGTAATAATGATCAGAGTCTTAGGATTTCAGTTACACTAACAAAAAAATTCTTGGCTTTACTTATATATAAGGTGTGCTTTCTCTTTGCCTACAAACAAGATTTTGAGTGTAATGCAGTTTCTACATCTTAAATGTTATCCTGATGTATTATCAGGTTTTTTAGAAAGAAATCTGGAGTAATCCCTAACAAAATGCAAAACCCACCAAGTTTGTTAGCCATGTGACCATGCCCCTGTTTACAATGATGGGAGAAGTTACTCGTTCATCCACTATATTGTTACATAATGCCTCCATTTTTATGAATTTGTGCATAATACAATTATTTTACACCTGCAAGTACAGAGCAAAGTATGCCTGAAGGCTAAATCAAAAGGAGATTCAACATAGCGTGAGGTGGAAGTTTTTTAAACAGCTGGATTTAATACCCTCTTTGTCTTACAGATTTACTAAGAGGTCCTAAATGAATTTAGGCTGCCATTTTTCTAGACACTGTGCAGGCACATAGGAAGAGACACTCTTTGCCCAGAAGGTAATCATCAGAATAGAAAGCCACAACACAAATACTGCAGGACAATACCCTGTTGTGAAGTCAGCTGTTGGCAGCAGTTTTCATGAGGGAGCAGGAGGAATCTCTACACTTCTATTTGGCCCACCTGCAGTTCTTAAAATGAAACATTTTTCCTAAGCATAACTCGAGGACTGTAGTTGGTGACCAGGACTGCAATGAAATACAGGTCATCTGCTATCATAGTAACTATGTCAGTCTTTCATAGCATAGGACACAGAGGGCAGGATTGCAAGAGTAAGACTAGATGTTTGGATGCTGAAAAGATTCAGTCCTTCACCCATCTCTACATTTGCAGGTTTTGGTTTAATTTAGTCTCATTGCACCAGTATGTGGTGTTAGCATTGCATTTCAAATTCATGTGATAGCAGGTGGACAGACTTCCTGACTCATCAACCAAAATCTTCAAATGCCCAAGAGCCACAACATACACTTGGATTCTAAAAGTGGCTCAGAGGTAAAAGATTTGCTGGGCGACACAGAAGCAAGAGTTTTGGTCTGACTGAGCTCACGTGCAGCTGAATTTCAGGATGATGGGTGGTGTTGGTCTCTGCTGCCTCATTTCCTCCCACAGCCTGAAGTTCAATTACGCAGCAGTTTTCTTGCAGAACAGTCACACTGCTAGCCACACAATCTGGTTTGGGCTGCACTTGAACAGAAAGTACAGATTAGGATTTGTGTCTAGCTTGTTTTGTGATGCTGCTCTCACATGGGGAAGCTATCTCTGTTGTCTTCCTTGTGTGCAATTCAGCAGTTTTCCCAAGCATGAGCTATAAATATCCCTGGAATTTTATTTTAACCAGGGTTTCAACTACAA